ACCATTAATTTTTATAGAAATTATTATTTTGCAATTCTTTTGACCTTAATAAGCGTAATTATAATTTATTTCTCAAGGAAAATCATTAATTTGAATAAATTTTTCTGGTTGATATAAAAAAATCAAAATTTTTGAATGTTTTCGACGTTGTTCAGCCAAAAATTCAATTAGTTTGCCAAATTTTCTTAAAAATTAGTCAAAATCCACCAAATTAGTGGTGTTTTTGTGGGTGCGGATAAAACTTGAGTTATTTGGTATTATAAAACTCAAAGATTTTTCAGGCTGAAAAATCGCTCGAGTAAAACAAAAACTGCACTTGCAAAAGTTTTCACTTAAATAATTTTCTGCTGCGACCTTAAAAATCTTTTTTCTTTTATAGTTTGTATCCGTTGAGCTAGTGGGTGTTCCAATCTAAGGTGTAGGTATCTCTAATTATGATTTAAAAATGTGTAGATAAAAAATAAAACTGTGCCATGTGACAAATACACAGTCATCGCTTACATATTAGGCATGACCACATGCATAAAAAGCAGGCCAATCCTCAAGTCTGCAAATAATACCGTATTTTCCGTAGGTTTTGCAAAAGAGGAGAAAAGAATCACTAAGTTAACGGGTTTTGAGCTGCACTTGATTTATTTCCAATTGTGATAAATTCATTTTCCCATGTTATTTCACTTATTTTTTTCAGTAACTTGCTCGTTTTTGCTTCGTCAGTTTATTTAAAAATGAAAAGTGAATTAAAAAACAAACAATAAAATTGATATTTTGTGTGAAAAAATGGACAATAACAACAACTATGAAAATTAGAAAAAACGAAATTTGAACACAGGAAGTCCTAAAAACGCCTCAAGAAAAAGATAAACATTGTTAATTTACAGAGGATGAAACGTATGATGTGGAAATAACAATTTTGTAATAGTCTGGACAAAATTGCCCAATTACATGTTATTAAGATGGACCACTCTTCCGCCCACTGTTTAAAATTGACCATTCATTATTTCAGAACACGTAACTGAATATTTTTAATAAATCTTCAAGAAACATGAACCGGTATGACCTCCTAAAATATTTTCAGCGACCACAATGATCAAGAGCGGCTTTTTCAGGTGTCGTGTAACTGGAAGGCAATATTAGCATATCGCATATTTTTCTAATAATACTTTTCTAAGTATATGCTGTTTTAGTGACTCATAGATTATTCATTCTATCGGCAAACTTGAATCGAATGGTGGGAGACGATCTTCTTGAAATTCTGACAAATACAAGTTCGCGGCCATGTCATTCATATGACGCTGAAATTGACGCCTTTTATGGCATTCGTCTCAAGAAAACATTTCTTCACCTACCAACTGTCCCAACTAAACCTTCCCTATTAAACAAAACTCGAAATTGGAAAGAGAAAGCATTTTTTTGAATGGCTTACACGTTGTTCAGTCAAAATTTCTTAAAAATAAGTCAAAAAAATCATCAAATTTCTTTAAAAATAGCTTGATTTCACTAACCAGGATCAAAAATCGCTAAAGTGAATCAAAGATAGCATTACTTTGTTTTTTCAAGTTTTCACTTTTTCTGTGAGTAGATTAGAATTTTGAAAATCAACCATTTTTCTGGTGGATATTCTTTTGGCCTAAATAAATGTAATTAGGAAAATCATTAATTCTAATTATCTTTTCTTGTTAATATTTAAAAAATATCTCAAAATCTTCAAATGTTTTACACGTTGTTCAGCCAGAAACTCAATTATTTCGTTAAACTTTCTTAAAAATAAGTCATAAAATCACCAAATTAGTTTAAAAATAGTTGATTTCGCTAAACAGGATCAAGAATTAGCAGCATTATTTTGTTTTTTTTTAAGTGTTTTACCACATTTTTCAGCTAGAAACGCCATTATTTCGCAAAATTAAAACCCGAAATTTTATCAAGTTAGACCAAAAATCTCGTTAAAACGCTGTAAAAGTATCAAATATAAAACCTGATAATATTTTAGCTTGTTTTTGCCGAATTTAGCTCCTTTTTGCGCGAAAATTTGTGAAAAACAAGTCTAAACCTTCAAATTTCGTGTTATTTTCAAGCCTTTAAGCACGTTTTTGAACTAAATTCTCATTTTTTCTGTGAGATTATATTAAAATTCTTGAAATCCACATGTTTCTTCATTTTATTATTTTGCCATTCTTTTGACCTAAATGAAGATAATTATAACTATTTTGAAAGAAAATCATTAATTTAAATCAATTTTTCAGGTTCATAAAAAAAATCAAAATTTTTATATGGTTTACACGTTATTTAGACAAAAACTTAGTTTTTTCTCCAAGTTTTCTCAAAAATAAGTGAAAAAATCGACAACTTACTTTAAAAATACCTACTTTGATTTCACGGGATCAAAAGTCGCTAGATTGGGTCAAAAATAGCATTATTTTTGCTGTTTTTTTTCTGTATGAGATAGCGTTAGAATTCTTGAAAATCGACCGCTTTTCTGGATATAATTATTTTGCTATTCTTTTCACCTAAATGAATGTAGGTAATTATGATTTATTTTGCAAAAAAAAATCATTAAAATTTTAATTTAAAGTAATTTTTGTGGTTGATTTAAAAAAAAATCTCAAATTTTTCAAAAATCGCTACACTGGGTCAAAAATAGCAAGTATTTTAGCTAGAAACGCAGTTATTTCGCAAAATTTTCTTAAAAACAACACGAAATTTTACAAATTAGGCTAAAAATCAGTGTTTGTTTCTTCTTTTTTTTTTGAAAAATTTTGATAAAACATTGTAAAAGTTCCAAATTAGATCAAAATTGATAATATTTTTAGCTTGTTTTTGCTCGATTTAGCTCTTCTTTGAAAGAAAGTTCGTCAAAATTAAGCCGAAACTCGTGTTATTTTCCCCTTTTCAAACCTTTTGTATACGTTTTTAACTAAATTCTCATTTTTCTGTGAGATCCATTAGAATTTCTGAAAAGCAACCATTTTTCTGGTTGTTATTATTTTGCTATTCTTTTGGCTCTCAAATTTCGTACTATTTTCCCTTTTTCAAGTCTTTAAGCACGTTTTTGAACTGAATTCTTATTTTTTCTGTGAGATCATGTTAGAACCCTTGAAAATCGATCATTTTTCTGGATATAATTATTTTGCTATTTTTTTTACCTAAATAAATGTAATTATAATTTATAAATAAAAAAATAAATAAATGTAATTATAATTCATTTTGCAAAGAAAATCATTAAAATAATTAATTTAAATTTTAAAAAAATATCCCAAAAAAAAATCGTTGAAGTGGATCAAAAGTAACGTTATTTTTGCTTTTTTCGAGTTTTTTAGCACATATTTCAACCAGAATCGCAATCATTTTGCAAAATTTTCTTAAAAACAACACGAAATTTTACAAATTAGGCCAAAAATCGGTGTTTTTTGTCTTTTCGAAAACTTGCAAAAGTTCCAAATTAGATCAAAATTTTAGCTTGTTTTTACAGACTGTCTCAACTAAACATTCCCTATTAAACAAAACTCGAAATTGGAAAAGGGAAGCATTTTTAAACAACAATGTTGTCTGTTAAGTCTTTGAAACACTATACGAAGTTTAAAAACAACTTTTTATTCAAAGAAAACGATCAATTTTGGCAAAAATAAAAATCAAAATGGCGGATTTTTAAGGTTTGAATTTCTTCTTTCAATTTCTTTCGAAATTTCACTAGAATAAAAATATTAATGAATTTAGTGTTTTTCTTCCTTCTGTGTGAAGTTTGAAGTATATTTCTTGCGGAAGGCTTAGGCGGGTCACCCAGTGTGATAAATTTGAGAGCAACTATTAGCTATTGCATCAGGCTTAATTTATGTCATGTTACGTATGTTTGCTTCTCATTATATAACTCTCGATCGATAAAATCAATGTAAGCACTCCAACTTTGGCCATAACAACATCACTGCTGCATCACTTGAAACTTTACAAAACGGCCGATTTGGTAACAGTTTTCGTAATTCGTTCGCGTCCACATTAAAACCGTACCACCTGTGTCTTTTCTCATATTGTCCGCAATAAAATCTCACTTTCACACTTGAAATTGTGCGCTTTTCACGTGATCAATCGCACAAACACGCCTACTTAGATGCAAATTCAGTATAATTTTATGGTGCGACGCAATAGTTAATTAGTCCTCACCTGTGTTCCTCTTCTTTCCTTTTGGAGCTGCTCCTGGCGGGTTTCACCCCATCGTACTTGTTCTCCCTGCCGTAGATGCTCCCCCCGAAGGGGTCCTCCCCCAGGTAGTACCGCTGGACGGGCTGTTTGTTCTCCATCCCGTTGTGGTGGATGTTGTTGTCGATCACGTGTCCTTTTTGGTAGGACGGACTCGGGGACCTTTTCGTTCTATGTCTTGTTTTGCGTTCGGTGCTCGCTGAGCGGATCTTCCCGACTAGTTTCCGAATGGACTGACCTATAATATTCCCGCTCTTGGCTTTGGGAGGGTCCGGAGCGAATCGCGTCTTCTGCATGGCCTTCTTCTCGTTGACCGGAGGCGAGTAGTCCGGTGGAGGCTCCATCGCGGCGGCGTTCGCGTAGCGACTGTCGTGGTGTCGGCGTTCGGAAACCCGTTTGCGTTGTGGAGGTGTCGGCGTGATCTCCCGGATGGGGGAGATGCGGACTGGAGGAGGAGAGACCAGCATGGGCGAGCTGGTCCGGTAGTCGGGGATGGGGGACCGGCGTGGGGGTGTGTACGTCACGGGCTCGTGGACGTAGATCGGGGTGTCTTGGTGGTGGTAGGAGGGCAGCGGGTGGCGCTCCGACCACTGACTGATCCCTGCAAGAGCAATCAGTGTTGCCATATCAAAAATATTAAATTCACCAGATTCCGATTCAAGGCCATAGCTAGAAACATATTTTTTTTTCAAAAAAGTTCTCGAACAGGTCGATTTTATTTGTTTAAATGCTATATTTTGATATTATAGTGACATTTATGATGTCATTCGTTTTTGAGTTGTGACGTCATTTTTAATTTTTTTAATGACAACTGACATTTTTGTTTACTGTTTTAAGTAGCACACATCTTTATCTGAAAGAAAATTAAAAAATGAAATTAAAACTTAAAAAAAATAAAAAAATATTGACAGTTAAACACAATTTGTTTTATTTTTTGTTTTTTTGTATATTTTTTAAAATAACTAGCATGAAATACTTAATATTGAACTTAAACACAAAAAAATAAAAACAAAAAACAATCACTCTTTACAAAATAAAGCAAGAACAAGAAGATAAAGCTCTTTGTATAAAAATTTGTGAAAAACAAGTTAAATCTTTAAATTTCGTGTTATTTTCAAGGCTTTAAGCACGTTTTTGAACTAAATTCACATTTTTTCTGTGAGATTATATATAAATGAAGACAATTATAACTATTTTGCAAAGAAAACATTAATTTAAATCAATTTTTCAGGTTCAT